GGAGCAATGTGTGTTTTGTTCCTAGTGCTTACATGAAGATGTGAAACAGCTTCTGAGTAAAAGTTGTAGTTCCTATATAATTTGAGTCTTGGCATGTGGTACAGTGTGTGTTGTCCTTGTGTAGAATGTTGAAATTATTTTAATATCTATTCTGACTGGAGTTGGATCCTGTGTTTTTGATTAATTTTCTTAAATTTAATTAAATTTAAATCACCTCTGCTGCTTTCAAGGTTAAATTAAGTAAAGAAGTATTGTGTTCCTTTTATTAACAGAAGAATAAATAAATCCCTAGATAAAGCAGAGATTGATTCTGCAAGAAGCACCATGGGCAGGGGACTCTTTCCTTGGAAATAATATTCTTTGAGAGAGACTTTCCAGAGGAATGGAAGATTGCTGTAAGGCTTACCAAAAAAACACGAATGTATTTTGTTTGTAGAAGTTTTTTTTAAGGTTGTATTAGTAGTAAAGATTTTTAAATTCTTTTTCTTTGCTACAGTATGGTTAAATAATTAATCTACATTTGTTTAGCGATTTTGGCTGCAGGCTGCTTCCACTGCTGTGTAGACAGATCTTAGTTACTGTACTTCAGCAGTACAATAACAAAAAAAGCCAATTATAATAACCAGCAGCAACCATTTCCAAAATACCTACAAGCAGATGGCTTCCCACTTTAAATGTAGTGCTGCCAGTTCTTTGGGATAACTTCCAGATGATCCGATGTGCTCCTTGAATTTTACCTGAGGTAGATAAAGTGCTACTTTTGCTTTCTTATAACTTGTAAATATTTTACTATCCATTGGTTACGAAACTATCAGCTATGGAGTTAACTGGGGGAAGACCAGTTCCTTCAATGATGTCAGTAAGTTTTCATAGCATCTTTGAATCATGTTAAAAATGAACTGATTTATGAGTTCAGATGATCAACCTGCATTACATCCAACAAAACAAACAAAAAAAGAGTTATGTTTAAGGTAGATATCTGTTTGCAATTAAAGATTAGGAACTTCTGCATATATACAGATGCCAAAGACTTGGTTCAGTAGCTTTATGTTCTGTAGTGATTCTTTTCTGTCCTGAAGTTTTACTTGCTTTTCTCTCAGCTAACTATATTTCAGCTACAAAACCAGTAATTTCATTGATTATTTCTTTAATATGCCCACTGTTCATGTTTAGGCAACCTACTGGGAGAGTGCAGACATGCTGTCAGATATCACTGCTAAGAAAGTTTGTACACATGCAGATATGCATGTCTTGTGAGTGTGTACTGATTTACATTTTAAGGCTTATCATTGTTATTAATCATTTGTGTTGCACCAATAATGTACAAAGTGCAATCTCTCTGTAGATCCTATTCTTATTTTTTATTAATATTTCTAAAGTCATTCATAGTCATTCATTTCTATTTCATTAATGTAATTTCTTCAGTTTTTTTTTCAGCTGGTGTAGAAAATGCTATGTATACATCAAGAACAGTGAATTGGGATTTAAAGTGTAGCCAGACCTTGAGTGGACATTTAGGACTGGTTTTTATCTTACCAAATGCTATTGACGGTTAGAAGTTATAATAAGCAATTTATTTATTATGTGCTTTAATTATTATCAGCCACTGCTTAGGAGTGAAAGAAGAGAGTAACAAAGTGTTTTTCTGAATGTGTAGCTTTCAAAGGTGAATTACTAGAGGGGAAGCCAAAGGGGGTGAAAAAATAGCGGAGAGTACCACAAAAACAAAGATGTCTTTTAATCTTGTAGCATCCCTGAAGCAGAAGTAAATAAAAAATCATTGGGGCCTCACTTTCTTTTCTTAAAACCATCTTTTATAAAAGCTTGAAAGTTGAGGACTGCTCACATTGCTTTCATATTATCTGAAATTACTTTTCAAGTATTTTCAGTAGAAGGAGCAGTGATAAGTTCCTTTACATGTTTTTTTTAATGGTTGTGTAGTCATTAAAACTTTAGGGACTTGAAGGCTGCTTGGGATACATGCAGTATGGTGTGCTGTCTGTCCCTTTGGCTTGGCAAAGAAATACAGAAGAAGCCTCCAGAAGATCCTCCATTTGCTGATGTCAGAAGCAGCAAAAGGGTCAGAGACCTGAGTGTAAATTTCTCTTACAGTAAAGATGATCAATTATTGTAGGATGAGCACTCCTATTTTAAATGGGGAAGATTAGTTTTGTAACTCACAAAGGTTTCAGGCTTTTTCTTTATCAAGAAATGGTTAGAAAGTTGCATTGAAAATCATTCCTGTAGCAAGGTTCATAAATAATAAATATTATCTCTTATTAATCCATATTTTAGCTTAAATCTAGCTCATGTTAAATTGCCCAAAAATATTGGATTCTTTACAAGAGAAGGTGATGAGCCGTAGTCCCCAAGGAATTAAATTGTGATAACAATCTCAGTTTTGAACATGCTAATACAGACCTGTTATTCCCTTTCCACATCTATCACAACACATTCTAAATTGTGGCTGATCTTCTATGCAAATAGCTGTCTTGTTAGACCCTGGGCTCTGTGTGCCAGTGTCTCCGTGGGTTTCTCAGGCATTTGCTCTGTGACCATCAAAGCAGTGGAAATGAATGATGATTACTGCATCCCTTTGAAGAACAAAGAGGACTCGAGGTTCTAGATGCAAGAGTTGGTGACACTGAGCCGTGCCGGCAAAACCGAGTATCTCTGTGGCTTATTTTAAGTCAGGAAATAATCTTTGCCTGTGTTTTCTTCTTCTGTTTTATTGGCATTGCTAAAACTGCAAACATCTTTCACAGCTGATGTTTTGTTATAAACTATTAGTAGACTGTGGAAATTGCAAAAGGCAAGTCAAAACAGTCTCCTAACAGTGGCATAAAAAAGCCAAGAACTAGTTTTGCTGTGTAAAAATGTATCTGTTACCTCCTCAATTAGCTGAAATTTCAAATTGTGCTTTTATTTTTCCATTCTAATTATTATGATGTGAATGGTATTGAATACAACCCAATCCTGTGAAGTATAATAGAAGGGGAAAGAAATGCAACCCAGTGAATTACAGTTCACTGCAACTGTGTTTTACATAAAGCAGGAAGTATTCTCTTAATTGAACCAAAGTAATATATGGAAAAATTAGAATGCTATAATTGAATTTTCAGTTCAGATTAAAAACTAGTGGCACTCTTCTCTACCTTGCTATTATTCCCGAATACATTTTAAAAAAGGTTGCTGACTTTGGAGCATCCCAGTTCATTTTGCGCCATGTGTCCCACAAATGAAATTAAGGAGCCTGGATTTGTCACTTGACATTAAATGCCCGAAATGCATATAGAACAGATAAATATAAAGTAATAAACTTTGTGGTTTTAAAATGCACAAATAGCTAGCGGGCATCATTCCTACAGCTGTATTTTAAATCATGTTTGAAGCTATGGAGAAAATAATGGTGGTTGCTTTAAATTTGGGATGCTGGCAGTAGTGTTCAGCAGTGCCATGGCATGCTTTTTGGGTCGTGATTTGGCATCTCAGTGCCTTCCAGGGTTGCAGTTCCCAGAAAGCGTGCCTTGGCAGCGACCAGGGACGCTTGTCTTGCTGTAGCACAGCTGGTTGTGCCTAACAGGAAAGTACAACTCTTGCAGATAACTCCATGGCCATATGTGCACAATCTGCGCATGGTTTGTGGCTACCCAGGATGATTCAGCCCAAGTTTGCCCTTGGCATGGTTCTCATCAGGGCCAGTTGGGAAAAGGCAGGGGTTGGCTGCTGTGCATCTTCTGTGCTTGAACAGTAAATCTGACACTTCTTGGAAACGTCAGACCTCTCATGAGTGTGGGTGTTTATGTTGGGACTCTTGTGTTGTAGAGGCAGTCAGATGGTGGGGCTTATCATCACTGTGGTGAGTCATGCCTTCAGCCCAGCTAAAAGGGCTCAATCCCAGTGTTTTAAGCAATAAGCATGACTGTAACAGCCAGTTATTTCATAATCAGGGAAAAAGAGGTGAAATGAGTGTGTTTGTAGTATCTGCCACTTGAGAGGCAGCCCTTTGAGGCATGAATATAAGACTATAAGCTTTTGCATGTTAAAAGATACATGAGGAATTTACTAGAGCAGTGTTCAGATGGTGCTTGTGCAGTTACATGAATGGTGTGGAAGCACCAATATACCAGAAGGAACGTCTTTGTATGGATGATTATGCAGTTCCTTGTGCAGTCCTAGTGTCACCTCCTTGTGAGGATGTGTGCAACATGACTGTGCAACATGAGAATCCCATTCAAGAGGCTGCATGGTTGTTACTTAAATGCAGTGAAGGTGATTTAAACTACCAATAGCATGCCTGAGAGGTGTAAAATGCATACAGCCCCAGCTCTCAGATTTTATTCTTCTTTCCTATTTATTCACAGATATCTAGAGCCCATGGCAGGAAAATAGGAGAGAGTGGAGTTGCTGTGTCCTAGGTATCTGCTCGTCTGCAGGTGGGTTTCATGGGCAATTTCACCTGTGGATGCACACAGCCTAGTCCTGCCTCTGACTCCTATGTGTGGTGTAAATGTATTTTCAATAATGGAAACAGCTCACAATTCTACATTCATTCCCTGTTTACTAAAGAAATAAATTATATAGGAATGTAATTGGTGGTACCAAATGCTGAATTACAGTGGTACCAAATGCTGAATTACAGTGCAATCAGTTTAAATCCTTTCTTTTTTCTTTATTTTCATTCAAACTAACAGGCATTCTGTAATGTTAATAACCCATGCAGTGGAGAAAAAGGTATGTTTAGAATGTATCTAATAGTCTTCAGAATAGTGATGATTAACTCCAGTGTCTCATTGTACTCTGGGAAGGCTTATGTCTTTGTGTATAATCATGTAAATGTTGCTTGTTACCATTTTTCTGATGTTATAAGCAATTGATTTTGTTAGTACGTTATTTAGGAATAATGTTGTGGTTATTGTTTTGTTTGTTTTTTTTTTTTTTTGTTTTGTTTTTTTTTTGTTTTGTTTGTTTTGTTTGTTTTTTTTTTCTGATACTGACAGTGATTTTTGGATTGAAAACAATGGGTAGAAAAGATGCCTCTACATCAAGGACTCCTGTTGACCAGTACAGGAAACAAATAGGTAAGAATTTGAAAGAAAAGTTTGTGTGCGCTTAAAATAAAAACAAAACTTTGTGGTTTTTTTCCCAGCAAGGCTCACTAGTGTAACAAAATGTAGCATTCCTCTTCAAAAACTTCATTTTGTGTATGCTGTTGAGTAAGTTGTTCAGCTTTCTGAAGATAGTATTTTAAGTGATTTCAGATAAAGTATATGGTGTGTGTTTGGAAACAGTAGGGGAATACTGCAGCAAAGTGGCTTCACAATGTTTCTGAACTGTTGGAACTTTCTTGCTTCTCCTGTTTGTCTCTAATTTCATACATGGGCATTTTTAACAAGATACTTTTCTCATTCATAACAATTTTTGATACACTGAGTGTTACAGACCTTTGCATTGCATAACTGCATTTATTCTCACACTGATGGATATTTTAATTTTTTTCCTTAAGACTTTTTCTATCCTTGACTAATATTTTTTTAGGTAACATGTATACAAAGTATGTACATGCACACATGTACCTTCACATACATACTCACATAGCAAATGCAAATCCTTCTTTCTTTGCTTAAATGCAAAGGTGAGTTATTTTTGAAATCTCTGTATGAGGATTCTGTTTCTGTATGTTAAATAATATAAAGGAGTCACAGTATTTTGAAAGTTTATATATAAAATGAAGTACCTTAATCTGTACACAGTTATTTAAGTAAATGACTTTGTTTTACAATTGATAAGCACACACATCTGTTTAAATGTGCAGAAAACAACAAATGTCTGCAGGGGTGGGGGGAAAGGTTGTTTACAATGTTCATTCTCAAGGTGAAAGAGCTAGGGTTGTGGTGACGGTGTTCATAGTAGACTCATTTTTTTTAGATGTGACACATTGCTCTTAAGTTGGCGAAAGCAAGTGTTAGAAATTATTGTAGGGAAGAATCTCATGCTGGCAGAGCATGAATAAACTACTAAATAAATAAACTACTACATAAATAAACTACTAAATAACCTAGGAGGTGTTTCTGTGATTGTAATACTCCTTAGAGGACAGAGAACATGAATAGACTGTTCTCTGCCTTTTGTTCTGACAATGGTTGTTTCAGCTCCTACTCTGGACATTCAATGATACCGCTATAGAGTTTGCCAATGGAAATCAGTTCTCTGAACTTAATGAATGTAAGAAAGGGAGTTTGAAAATGTGTGAATACGATTTTAGACTTAAGTTTTGCAGTTGTGTTTGAGTTTTATGTGTAACCATTTTGGGCCATGTTTTGGCCTGGTAGCTGAGCTTGGTGGAGTGAGCCCTCTAGTCTCATTATGCCATTAGGTGTATTATAGGACAAATAGGTGTATTATTGACAAATATAATCCAATTTGCCCTAATGAATATAAAAGTGGTGTTGTTTTTTGGGTTTTTGTTTTTTGGTTTGTTGGTTTTGGGGGGTTTTTTTGGTCATTACTGCTTTATTTTTTTTGTTCTTATATAGTTTTGCATAACTGGTAATAATTCATCCATTTGTCACAGGATGGTTAAGGTTGACAGGGACCAGTGGAGGTCATCTCATCCATCTGCCCTGCTCAAGCAGGGCCACCTAGAGCTGGTTGCCCAGAACAGTGTTCAGATGATTTTTAAATATTTCCAAGGATAGGAATTCCACAATCTCTCTTCCTGTGTTTGACTATGCTCAGTGTAGAAGGTTTTTTTCTTATGTTTTTCTGTGTGTGTCCATTGCTAGTCCTGTGACAGGGTACCACTGAGAAAAGCCTGGCTCTGTCCTCTTTGCACCCTCCCTTCAAGTATTTCTATATACTGATGAAATCCTCTTTGAACCAACTCTTTTCTCCTAGGTAAGTTCTCTCAGATCTCTCAGTTTTTTGTCATAGCAGAGATGCTCTAGATTCTTCATTTTAATTCCTCTTCATTCTTCTTGAACTGATTTCATTCAAGTACTTATCAGAAATTACACAGAATGATTTTTTTTTTTAAACACAGTCATTCTTTAAGACTTAGATTTGACACTTAGGTACTTTTGCAGGGATGTTTTAGTGTGAAGCTCTTCAACAGATGATCCCTCAGAGCACAGAGTGCCCTAATGCTCCAGGCTCAGTTGTTTTGTAGATGGACATTTGGTCACCCTTTCTAAGGTAGATTATGTCTAGAAACAGTAAGAAAAGTGATGCTGCACAGGGCCTGTCTTTAAAAAAAAATAATTCATCAAATTAATTTAAAGCTCAAAATCCATGCTTGGAGTGATTGCCGGCCTTCTTTTCCAGGCATTTGGTATCTGTGGATTGTTGAAAACATTATGATGGATGCTGGCTGAACAGCTATCTCCTGCTGACTAATGGTGTGATGTTATTTTTTAGCTTACAACTTAATGTTTTCTAGCCTTGCTGGATACAAGGTAACCAGATTGAAACATTTTTCATACCTTTTTTTGATGGAAAATGGCAGCCTTCAAGGAACAACATGTCACAAAGTCATATCAACTTCCAACACAATTTTCAGTTAGATGTTTAGTGGAGTAATTTGAAATAGAAGCAGATTTTTAATTTCATTTTGTTCCAAGCTTTCTGTTTTGTTCTGAGTTTCCATACGGCATGCCACATGTTTGCCCTGTGCCATGGTTCAAGTTCATGTTGATTACTTCAGTTCAGCCGTTTGCCTTTTTCTCTTCTCCGTGAGAGCAGGATCACTCGTGTCTTGTTTGCCTCTGTGCCACTAGCAGTTGCTGTTTGCTTCAGTAGCATTTTCAGAGGATTCCCCCAGCACAGAGATTGATACTGTTCTTCCCTGTCAGCTGGCTTTCAGCCATCTCTCTTGTCACCAGCCAAAATTTGTCTGTAGTGCCACTTAAGCTAGTGCTCCAGTATCTGACAGTGGCACTACCTTCTCAGTGGGGAGCAGAGACAGTCTTATAGTTACCAGACCAAACTGGCAATGGCTTTGTGAAGCCTAGCCCCAGGTGGACCGGGGACAGCCACAGCAACCTTTTCAAACTGGCTTCAGCTGTGCCTGGAGGAGGGAGGATGGCACCAAGGGATCTCTCCCTGTTCAAATCTCCATGAGCAGCCAAGGCTGTAGAAGAAACCATGAGGAAAGGTAATTTTAACACTTCTTGCTCATCTCTCACTCACAAACCCAAATATGTACCTGTAGTGCTGCAGCAAACAGGGAAGCTCTTTTGCAGAGCATTTCCTTCTCCCTGCTGCTGTTTGTGCTGCTGTGCTTAATTTGCTGGAATCTGAGGAAAGGTGTGAGGCAGTATGCATCCTTCTGCATTTATGCAGCTTTGCTCCACAAATGCTGTGAAAATAGCAACAGGTTTTTTACCATATTTGCTTTGTTTACTGTTATGTGTGCTTTAAGTTCCCAGAACAATTCCACATGTATATTTTCCATCCTTCTTCATCTGGTGTGTCGCTTGCTCGGCATGGAAGCTGAAGGATTTGTGGGTAGTGTTCATGACTTGTGTGATTGTGGGATCCTAAGCAGGCATACTGAGAGGATTATAGCATAACTAAAACCTGGTCTACAAATCAGGAATAGACATACTTTTGGCTCCCATTACTATTGTGTTGCTGTAGCATAATTTTTCATGAGGAGAGGTTGTTTGCCAATCATTCAACCTTCAATTTGTAGACTCAAAGGTCTGCCTATTGTCTGTTCTATATCTTCTAACTTGCCAGCTTGATCTTTTAGGAGCTGGAGCTTATATAGGCATAGCCCGGGGGTTCTTTGGAGCAAATAAGGCTCTTCACATCCCCCTGGGAAAGACTAGAAGTTATGAATGAAAATATGTTCTCTTTTTGTTTTGGAAAGCACAAAGCTACTCGTTTTGCGGTGACTCGGTGATGGAGGTGGTGCTCGTTGCCATCACACATGTGGAGCCATGGGGCAGGGATGGGGACTGGGTAGGAGTCCTGAATCCTGCTGTGGCAGCACAGTAGAGAGAGCAGTAACCACCTGAACTAACAGATAAAACTTTGTGGGTAAAGCTGGGCCTTTGTAGGTATGTAGGTACACAGTTTGTGGTATTTAGCAGTGGGGCTGCAGCCAGCCTCATCCCTAATGGGCTACAGCTCTGCAAAGCGGGTGAACAGCATTGAAAGCAACGAGACATGGAGTGCTGAGGTGCACTGACCGACCACCAAAGGGAGCAGAAAGCACACAGGTACAGTGCATGTAAGATGAAGAGTATAAAAGGTTGGGCTAAAGAACAAGAAGGGCAGATGCTTGAAGCCTTCTGAAATTGCCTGGTGGTACTCTGTGTATCGTGAATGTCTCAATTGTGACCTATGTCTGTGGTGTGGAGACTGGTGACTTGTCCAGAAGAAAGGTGTCTCATCCTAGGGCTGAGGCTGTGATGTCACTGAGATAGAGAAGAGCTTGGGGAATAGTGGCAGCATGAACATCTCTGGGGTTCCCACCTCCAGGTACCAGCTGGAGCATGGACCTTCTTGTCTCCAGAGAGAAGCCCTTCTTGTGGCAGATTGCTATTTCTACCTACCCTACTGCTAAAAAGTTGTCTTTACCACCTCAACTTTTCTGTTTTGTGTTACTGTTTACCTTCTCTGTGTTTTTATGGACTTACTGTACCTCTGTCTTTCTTGTCCTGAGTAGTGCTGTTGTATACTCATAAAACCTGGCCACTATCAGCCTTCTTTTTCAGATTAAAAAGAGGGAAAATGTTACATTTTGATACTTTTATTTGAAATATGTTGCGTACTTTGACATGAAATGTGGTTGTTTTGGATGAGGAAATGCTTATTATCAGAATGAAAATTTGCGACATAATTTCTGAAATAATCGCAACAGCAAAAAATGTTTGGACTGAATTTGTACTGAAAATTTCAAAATGTCCCCGCTTCTCACAAAACAGCAATTCCTCTGTCTTTTGTCTGTAAAGAAAAGGCATGGAATCAGAAGGCAACACATACATGTTGTAGATTGCTCTCCTCTGCCATAAGCAAAGATGTAGCAGGACAGATGTCAATGGAATAAAAATTCTCCAGTCTATTTTTTTAACTA